AAGGAGAAACTATGCTCGTGGCAGCTCTGTATAGCATGAGCTAGTCACAAAAGCTGCGCAAGGTTTTTTTGTGGTTTCGAGGATAGATTCAAAACTTGCATTCGGCTGCGTTATCGAACCTACGCTTAGCAAGTGCCCGCGACCTTCCAACCATATCATATCGCTACAACAAATTTTACAGCATAGATATTTGGGACGTGGCCTGATGTTCATTTTTGCGGAGATTGGTGTCAGTCACGTTTTATAAAATCAAAGTATGACGAAGTGGAATGGACTGATGCAGGAATTTTGGATATTTTACTCCTCTTATGAGTTCAACTTATCCACTTCTTCCAGCTTTAGAGAATCACTCAAGATTTTAGCCTCTTTCCTTGGCGTCATCACTTCCTTCCACCAGCTTCGTTCCCTCCCTTCATGCTTTAACCCATCTGCTTTCAACTTCGTTGCTTAGCTAGAAGTTCTAAAACTGTGCACCGGCGTGAGCTGCTACGTCCTGTTTGATTTAACATGATATCAACCCGTCAGTTGTTCAATGGATTTGCAGCATATGCGAAACGTGAAGAATCAGACGAAGAAACTGAGGTCTAAGGAAAACAACTAATCGCTATACGTCGTTCATTCACAAACGGACTTCAGCATAAATGCCGAACAAGAAAACAAAGAAAATTTATTCTGCTTGCAAATGCAATTTTAGAATTTGGATGTTGTTATAAAAGAAAATTTTGGCTGAAAAAATTGAACTTTTTAGTACTCCTTTGGGTTCTACAAAGCGATTCTAAAGGAAACATGTCTATAATTTTTGGAAGATGCCTTGCGAATATGGAAGGCTTAAATATTCGCCTGCTTCTTCAAAGTTCTGCTCTTCTTTATTATTATCTGCCTTAAAAAACTGTGAGCTCTTAGTCTCACTTTGGAGCATTTACACGAAAGCATGTAAGAGTAAAGTAACCATCGAAAGATTATGAGGAACAAAACTACTTTGAGTTCTTGTTTGCCCTGCGTCCGCTAGCAGACATGCCAAAACAACAACTCTTCCAGCTGCAATTCACGGATCGCGTTTTCCCGACAGTCACATTATGCCATTTGAATCCTTGGAAGAAGGAGGAAGCGATGAATGCCGATCAAAATATAAGAAAATTAGTGAGGATCTTGAACAATATAAAGCGTCATTTTAAACTAAAACAAACTATTTAGGTGGAAGCTTACGAAAACTTAGGGACAAGCAGTAGTGAGTATGGGTTCAGCGAGCGCCTAGAAGGAGTACGCCAGCAGAAAGCGACAAAAATCACTGCACTGATGAGCGAACGCCTTCACAGCAAGGCAAATGTGCGTAAGACAATGTTTTTCAATGATTGCATTCCGAGGCAATTCAAGCAAGATCGAGAAAAAATTTAATTTTAATTCAGGATGCGAAGAATGCCTACGTTTACTCAGATCTTGTAATCAGTTGCACTTACAACGCAAAAGTGTGCAGTTTAGAGTAAGCTATCCTTATTCTGCTAGGAAACGGTAGCATCTATAGCTTTTAAAAGTCTATTTAGAGAATCTGTATAGAACCATGAAACTACATTCTTCTTTGAGTGTTCAGCCGTAAGCCAAGATTGGTAATGTATTTTATTAGGCTAACGTTTCGGCTTGTTCGCCTTCGTCAGAGCCTGGAAAGGGAGGAACAAATGAGATGTAC